TGTACCCTCTTGGTTATGATTGTGGTTCCCCATTCCACATGGACTCATCTGCTGCCCTATACACCCTTTACGTGAGTTCGAATACCAAGAGAGGTAAAATCAATCAGAAAATTTTTTTTTAATTCTCTTAATTTATTAATTTCTATAACTATTCTAAGCATATGTACAGAGTATTTCAAAGTCAGAACACCCGGCTTTAGCTTTTTTTAATAATTTTTTTAATTCGTATAATTATTCTACACAGATGTACCGAGTATTTCTATGTTGGGACACCGGACTTAAGCTTTTCCACTTGTTATTAATTGATGATAGCTGTCGAAGTATTTCATAGCTTGAAGACTTGACTTTGACCCAGGGCATTAGTGGCTCCTTTAATGTAAATTGTTAATTATTATGTAAGCAAAAAAATAAATTCCAACGGGCAGTGGTGCAACACGTTGCCGACTGCTTAACATTCCTTTTTTATGGCCTTTCATTTGGGCCTAGCCCTAATGAATCACCTTGGTGGCGAGCGGTCACGTCCCAATGATTTGAAAAGAAACCATATATCGTTTAGTTGGCATTTGGCCGACTGGTCGGCACGTTCAATTGCTTTTGCGGTCATAACACGATACACGTGGCCGATAAGGGGTATTTCATCCAGTTCTTTAGAATTGAGCTCAATTAGTCAAAGCAAATTTGCTATCGTTGGGCAATCAGGGAACAGATTTTGACGCCAGTTTGGGTTATATTATTAATCTATAGTAACATATGTGCATATAGTAATCCAGTATAACCCAAACCGCATAGATAGGAGGCAAAGGACCGGGTCTATGGCAAAGCCCTAAACACATTTCTGTAGCTTCGAGTGTTCGCGTTCTTTTTAATTTTCTGAGCGCCAAACTTGTCAGTCAATCCGAGGAAGACGACGCCACGTTTTGGCCAGACGCTTCAGTATTTGAATACTAATTGTATTTTGCGCACGCTCCCAATCCAATTGCCACTCCCGCTCTCCGCCCTTGCAGCGCTGCGGCAAATATGATCAACTACAAAGCGCGCCATATTGACATTTGTCTTGTGTCTGTTATATGCGCCTTTTGCGCCCACGTCTGTCAGACTGGCAACCATTGAAGTTGCCATTGCCTTTGACTCTGACTCTGCCTTTGTATTGCCATTTTAAACTCCCACGACTGCTGTAATCAGAAAAAGATATGCGGCTTAGATAATGATCAGTAAGACTGGCGGGACGTTCATTCAGGCAGGCATCTACTCGTAGGTTTCCAGGCATAGCAGGCATACAGAGAGCACTGGCACTGTGCTGCTCCGGCGGTTGGAGCGCTTTGAACTTAAATGGGTTTTGTGTTGTTGCTGACATGCAGTTTACTGGTTGGTTGTTTCGCTATCCCTGTCCTTGTCGCTGTCTGCACTGCGGCTGCGACTGTGGCTTGCCAAGAAAATTTGCAATGTGATGGCATAAATGGCATGCTGGCAAAATGCTTTTGCGGTTCACTACCTCCTCGTTTTGGCTGGTGTCAACTATGCCTTAACATTGTCATCGAGCGTCTTTAATGGTGCACAGAAGTGTACTGTGTACCCAGAACAGAAACATTAATGGATAATTAAAATCGGCTATTTTCATTTCGAACAAGCCACTTGATGCTATGGTTTCATGGGCGTAGCCAGGATTTCATTCGGGGTCGTTAATATATTGCTGACATCGTTACACTTTTTGCACTCTGTACATGACAAGACGAGTCGATATAGCCCTCTCTGTCTGTCTGTCCGTATGAACACCTGCATCTCAGAGACTATAAGCTAGAGACACAAAATTTTCCACATAGATGTCATGTGTATACGCTCTGCAAGTTTGATTCCACACCCCCGTTTATGGGGATTATACGTTCGCTTAACTATTTACTTACTATATATCTTGGAGACTATAAGACCTAGGGACACCAAATTTAATTCCCTTCCTCCTCTCCTCCGCTATTAGTGATTTTTCATAACTGCCGTAATTCTTGGAGTTTTTGACTCAAATTTGGGAAATATCTACAGTTATTGCTTATACTTGTAAGTTCGTATGATGGGACGATTTTAAAGGACGTTATAGCAAACGTAATTAATTTTCCGTGCTTTTGTGTCATATTTCGTCTAAATCAACTTCCCGGGTAGGAAAAGGGGAGTTGCCCCGCTGCCCCACTTCGCTACGCCCATGAATTTCTCGGCACTTCAATGGCCATAACGTGGGTAATTGTGTTCTTAGCACGATGACGATGGCGATGACTCCGACGTCAACGTCGCCTCATCGGTGTTGGACACATCAATGACTGGTCATCATGATGTTTTTGTGTGTGTAAATAGAATGTAGCTCCGCTGTGGTGGCTTTTCAGGCGGTTAGCCATTTCTTCGGCAGTTTGTTTAGCACCATTGTCGCCTGTTGCTGCGTTATGTTAATGAATTTAATTTAAGATTGGCCATTTAGTGAATCCAAACAGATTGACTGAAGAGGGCATACCAAATGCAACCAACCAACATTAACGCCCCACTATAATAATTTAGTAAGTAGCGGGTCAGCTCAAATAATAGGCCCAGTTAGGCAACATAATTTTTTCTCATTATGACAAAGTCGTGTCGATGCTGAGGAAAAATACGAAATAGCTGTCGCCGTTCTTCCATCTTAAATTCTGGCAGTTCTGGTAAGGCTGACATGACAAGCTGCCAACGCTGATGATGCTAAACTCTTCTGGGCTGTCGTTGCTCAACTGATTGAGAGTCGTGTCGACAGAGTGGCGATTGAACGTGGCAGGATGAAGGCAGTCATGTAGCGAGCGGAGCGGAGCCAACTTCTGACGACTGAATGGCTGATCAGTCGACGCACCACAACGAAGCGGCGGAGGCATTCTAGCAGGCAGGTCCACTGTTGCATATAAATGAGTCGTTTCATAAGTTGACAATAATAATAACCTCGTGTGGAGTTTACCAAAAGATAATGTATATACTTGATAAGGGGATCACACTTGTTGATTTTGTGCAGAACTAATAGCTCGAAATGTTTTGATTTAATTTAAGGGTGTTTAAATATAAGCCCATAAACAAGTACATATACTTGTGGGGTCCATTTCATGTACAAAGTATAATTAATACATATATAAAAAAATTATCAAATAAATAAATTAATAAATTAAATTATGTGTTTATGTGCGTGTAGGTGTGCAGTACAGAATTAAATAAAAGCAGAAACAACAACATGTGCGGAGAATCCCCAACAGCTGGGGATTGTATATATAGTATATGTCGACTCTATAGGGCAACATTTTTTTTCTACCTTAGAGTAAATAAAACTAGAGAGAGCGCTACAGTCGAGCAAGCCCGACGGTGAAATACCCTGTATCCAGACAAAGTTCCGTCACTGAGTTATATGCGCCCATAGCAGAAGCAAAAAGAGGAAGAAGAAGAGCGAACTTGTTGCTGCAGTTTGGGGGGGTTGTACTGTAGAGAATTTGCTTCGCTAAAAACTTTTCTTAGAATTGACCGAATTGGATACAATTTTAAAGTGCGTAGTAGAAAACTGTACATAGATTGCGAGTGCAAAGTTTGGTTTATGTAGCTTTTAAAATGTGGACGCTATTGATGAAATTCTGTAGCGGGGAAAAAGGGGGGAAAATTTCAAAAAATACAATAAACTCGTCCTTTCTCGGACCTAGGATAATCTGGATACCAACTTTAGTTATTCTAGCTTTTATAGTTTCTGAGATCCTTGCGTTCATCCAGACGGACGGACAGACGGATGGACATGTCTAGATCGATTTCTCTCGTCATGCTGATTCAGAATATATATACTTTATGGGGTCGGAGATGCTTCCTTCTGCATGTTACATACTTTTCACAAACCTAATATACTCTTTTTACCCTACGGGTACAGGGTATAACAAGTTTAAAGGTTATTGGATTTCTATAACCACTTCTTACTGCTCATCTGCTCTTTAACAGGAAACTTGTGACCAAATTTCTCATTTGGACTATGCGTCGATTGCACTTAGTTACGTACATACATACATTCATACAAATATACATCAGTTTTCGTTTTTATAGTGACTAAAAATTAAAATATATAACATAAAGGAGACATTATCGAGTTTATTCAATGCAATTGCTGTAAAATATAGAAATCTACCCAAATTTGCTGAATCTTCGGCGAACCAATCTTCAATCGATTCCAGAGCAAAAATAATACTTACGAATCTATGCCCAAATTAAGTGACCAGATCGCCCATAAGGTTAAGCTTATGCATTTGGCCATCAAAATTTTCGATTGCGGTCCATATGACTTAATTTAACAAATCAAAACTGCTATCGACTGGTGTTCGAAAACAAGCTGAAGCAATACAAGTGTTTAAGCAGCTCGTTTTAAAGATACCCACTTCGAAAGCGCTTTTAAAATTGGCTGAAATCCATTCCAGACTTGTTTTATGATTATGTCGAATATTTTCATTTATAGTTTCCGAGATCCATGTGTTTTTGCAGATGGATGAACAGAAGGAGAGCAAGCATTACAAGCATGTGCACCAATCTGGCACACAAATTGTTCCTTTTGGATACGTGCAATAATAATGCTTCAGCTGAAGTGACTTTTCACACAAGTCGCTGCATTGCATGCACGGGAATAGCCCGTATTGGTTATTATTAAGTCTCGCACTTAGTTTGTCCACAAAAGTCAAAAGCGTAGTCAATCGTTCCACCAAAAGAGCCAAATTTCAACTGCTAACCCAGTTTTAATAATCACGAAACTGAAGCTTTTTTTTACCGTAATTACCTTTTGCATTTGGCGAGATTTTTCAATTTTTTTTTTCTGTATTCTATTTGTGTAAGCGTTCAGCGAAGCTGCACGAAAAGTATTCAAAAGGCCGACAAGGCCCAGCACGCTGATTTTGGTAGTTGTGGCACGAAGGTGGCTGCAGTTGGCTAGAAGAGCACTGGCTGGAGCGTATTAAGACCGGCTGACATATCAAAGCTCATAAATCTCTAATTTAAATTAAATTTATTAATTTTCATCCAAGTGAGAGCGGTTTTTTATGAAATAAAGTAGGACAACAAGGTACGTTTAATTTCGTGAACTACACTCAACAAAAAAAGGAATATGTACATATATAGTAAATTAATATTAGGCTTCTTGCTTCTTGCGTCCAAAACTCTCGCCATCCTCCAGTGTTTCCGGCAGTGGCATTCCGCGCGTTTCCGGCAAAAATATTGTTCCGATAACGGCTAGGACAGAGAATATACCAAAAACTAATGGCGTGATCCACTTCTTGATGGCCGCCAGCTCACAGATCAGGGGTGCTACAATCGATCCAATCCGTCCAACCATCGAACAAAGACCGACGCCATTGGAACGGACGACAGTGGGAAAGAGCTCACCCCCATACAGGTAGGCATTCGGAAAGGTAATGGAGGCACCGAAAAGACCCAAGGTGGCACAGGCTACCTGTATTTTCATATCAACCCCGGTCAAAAAGACCAGCAACAAGAGGCCAATGGCACTCAGTCCGTTCGACAGCATCATTGTTATCTTGCGCCCAAGAAACTTAGTGAGAACCACACATAAACAGGTACCAGGTATGCCTAAAGAAGCGGCTATTAGGTTGTTCATGAAGATATTGCCACCCAACTTGGAGATATACTGGGCTGTCCCATAGTAGACCATACAGACGACCAGCCAATCATTGGCCATGCATATGGTTTTGAGGCGCAAGTAGGGCGTACGAAATAGATCGCAAATATTTCCCTTCTTTGTGGGAGTGCGAGCGGCCATCACCTTGTGAGCGGCCTCTATCTCTGGTCGGATGGTATCTGTGGGCACTTTGTTGACTTTGGCGATGTGTTCCAGAATCTTAATAGACTCATCCAGGCGCCCGGTTGTAAAGAGCCATCGCGGCGATTCTGGCACCAGGCAAATGTACACGACAAACACTACTGAAAAGATTGTAATCGAGAACTGGAACCAACGCCAGGTGCGAATGAAATACGCGAATATGGCCAAGGAAGCGTGACCGATGTTAAAGGGTATCTGATACAAAATGGCGACAAGTTCGCGCTTCTTCGGTCCAATGATCTCCATAATCAATACAAAGCTGCAAAGAAAAGTGTGAGTATTCTTTGAGCTGTAGAACTGGGAGCTTCGTACCTGGTGGTCATGGTCCCGCCTGTGGCAAAAGCAACCAAAAAACGGAACAAACAGTAAAACCAGAAGTATGGCGAAAGGCACACAATTAGTCCACTGAAAAGCTGCATAAAGCAGCAACCAAGAAAGGCGGGTCGTCGCCCGCAACGGTCGGCCACCATGCCAAAGAACATACTGCCGAACATAATGCCAACCATGACGATCGATTGCGACATGCTGGCTAGGGATTTCTTATTGCACGTTAGATTCCACTCCGTTATGATTGTAGACTTAAAGACGCTCGTATCAAACTTGGCTTCCTCGCAGTCGTCGCTGCACGGATCTGTTACGTTACCGGTTTCGCAGGACTGTGGTGTGGGTGCAGCCAGAAATATGTGGCCCAGCGTATGCCAACCCGTGCCGAATTTGCAGAGGAAGATCAACGCACAGAAGAGAAACTGATAGATTTTGAAGTCCCCGATCTGTGAGATTATTGGATCGCCAGTCTTCTCCACCGGCTGCTCCTTCTTTTCTTTGTCTCCCATGTTGTGCTTTCATTCGAATCGAGTCCTTCGTGTTAAATATGTCTGTTTGTAATTGTTTCAGTGTGCGCACGAGACTACAAACTAAAATAGTTCTCTGATTACTTTCTCAAATACGTATTTGTGTACCTAGCCTAGCACAAATAAACTATGCGGCACTGTGTTCGGAGAGGTCTGGCTTGACACTGACTGGCGTGAAAAATGCTCGACCAGTAGATCGCGATTTAATTTGCAGTCTCTCCAATGCAACTGTAGCTTCAACCAAAATGTCGCAGTCTGTAGACAGAAAGCGTGCAGTTGTAGCTTCAGCTGAGTTTGCCAGTCGCGTTACTGCAATGAGTCAGGCCAGGCCTAGAGTAAGCAAGCAGCATGAGCACCTGGTGGAACTGGTGGACTGCTATGAGTTGTAAATTGGCATTTAGGCTTTTTGGCAATCAATTGACAGCAGCGCAACTCAAAGGCCAAAAGCTACACTGGCAAAAAGAAGAAGAAACTAAAGAAAAGTGTTTGGAACTGTTGTTGGCAACCGAAGTTCGCCGTTCCATTAGCCAAAGGAGTGCCAGCATGCGATACTCGGTCGGCCCAACTATATATATGCCACAGATAGCTACAGATTAAACTATTGTCTGTCTGCAGATAATCGACGGCGCAATGACTCAATTAACGAAATCGGTTAGTGGCAAGCGGCAGGAACACAATTGAGTGAAAGTTGGCCGCGCCGAGGCTTGTCATTCTCGCTGATCGCTCAGCCAGACAAGTGTGTAACAGTTCCCACGAAAGGCCAGCAACCTGAGCCGTCAACGCGCTTGCGCAACCGCCGATATCGCCAGCGACGCTACGTCAAAGGGCAACTTGTCCCAACAAATTAAAAAAAATTATATGCAAATTGTACTTGCTTGCCACATATTGCTAATCAGTTGACGACACATGTTTGTTTTTGTGTCCATACACATACTTATAGAGATGCGGGCTAATCTGCATACCGCGTTAAGTCCGCTGTGATTGTGACATTGACACTCACATGTAAAACCGAATATTTTTTGTTGTACTTATCTGTTAGACGATTAAATACGCTTTTGAAAACTTGGACGGGCACAAGAGGACAACCTCTCACTTCGGCACCACAAAACCTACTGAAAGAGACTCCCGTCTCAGCTCTGCGAGCTCTCTACGCATCTAACACGACGCTTTATTGCTCTCTTGCTTCATCTCTTATCTGCTCTTCTTAATTTATATATGTATGCACATACTTACATATGAATATGCGAATGGCTTGATAACGAATATCAAAATAATGCCAAACGTGCTCGGACATTATACATATACGCAAGAACGATGTAGCATTATTCGAAAAAATATCAAGACAGAGTGTTATTCTGTCATTCGTCACACAAATTCAAATTTCAAATGGATATATATTTTTTTCCGTCCTAGTTTTTTTGTAAAATCTGTGCAGAGCTGGACAATTATACATTTTTAAAGTCAAACTTCGGCAGATAAATATATTAATGCTTTAATGGTTTTCAAATTTAACTGTTGGACTTATAAACAATTTACATAACCACTGTGTAAAGGGAGGTCGAGAAGATTGATCCTCTTTAGGCGCCTGAAGTACGGCCAGGGTGCAGATGAAATGTTGAGACCAACAAAAAAACTATACTGAAATATAATTGTCTGCTACAAACAACTTTTTTGGGATACATAAAACTTTTAAAAGCCTTTTGGAAAAAAACAGCAATTCATGTGCAAACTATTCTATTAATTATTATTTTAACAAGTATATGTTAAATACACATACACATACACACATAAATACACTTGAAGCTCTAATTAAAGTAGATGTGTCGCTTTTAGATTCATGTGTGCATCTCGATGCCCAAGATTGTGGGAAAACTTATACTCGTATGTAAAAACTTATCGAAAGCTTCATCATGTGTTATGAGGTACATACAAGAGCAAATTACAATTCGAAATCTTCAGTCTACAAATAAAATTACGCTTCCAATAAGTATTTAATTTCCAGGGCACATAGCACGCAATCTAAATTTTTTTATAGTTTTGCCATAAAAAAATGCATAAAGCTGACAACAGTGGAGGAGACTCAGGTAGGGAGAGGGGCGGCATCAAAGCCTTTGCCAATCTGGACGAAAATTGCCAACTCAGCGCTGGCATGCATATATCATCTTTATGCAGGACCACGCCCCTCTCTGCTCGACTCTGTACGCACATATTGACAAATGCAGCAGCACCCAACGCACCCGTTCACAACCAGCGCGGCAATGTCTTAAATGTCTTTGGCACTATTTGAGTTGGAGTTAAGGCCGGTGTTTTAGTGCGACGATGAACAGAGAGCTGACTATAATAAAAATTGTAGTTATTTCTAGGTATACACACATATACTATATGTATGTATGTGTATGTGCATACGTGACTCTGAGTGTGTGCTTAAGCTTTTGCCGTTGCGCTCTCTCCGTCTCTGTCCCACTAAATCCTCTTTGATTAAGTGCTCAATCTTTTATGTGGAAATTTTTTAATCGTTGCCAGCCCGCGTCCCCTGAATCAACGATGACGGCGAGAAATGTTGCCATGCCTCATAGATTAATCGCTAATCTGTCCCTAGAGGGGCGTACTGACATTTTTTAAAACAGCGCTACTCAGAAATCGGAAGGATGCTCCTCCAGCAACGGCTTTGGCTCTCGATGGTTCGCGTCAGTTGTTAGTTCTGCTCAGGCATTGCTTCTTTTTCGAGTTTTTGTAGCTGCTGCTGTCGCACTTTGTTGGCTGCCCTTTTCGGATTTGTAAATAAATTAATAAATTTAACCTTGAATAAATTATTATGCATGTGCTTGCAGTTTCGCTCAGCGAGCAGATTAATGTTTTAATTTTTTTACCTACTACGTAGACCGCCTAGAACAGCTTGCATTTTTTTTAATTTATGCGCCCCACGCTACAATTTGTGCACCTTTTTGAGTCTTTTTTTGAAGGGGCGCTACGGCACCAAAAAAAATGCGCCGCCTTGGGTTAAGGTGCCTGGCATAAATTGTGCACCTTACATGCCGATCCAAGCGACTACATTGGGAATTTCAAGCAAATTAATTTTAACGTATTCCTGATACGTTAGAGTTGTGCGGCCGGATATAAGAACACTGTAGCCACTTTGAAAAATTGATCAAACTTTAATTAAAATTCAAAAAAAAAAAATTTATTAAATTCAAATAATTAATCACATAATATAAGTAATATACGTATTCGGGCTTGTGATTTTGTGTGCAATGCAAAGTTGAACCAAAGCATAGGAGTAACTGCGGCAGAGCATGGATAGTTTGGCAACTGCGAGGAGGCGTGCAGATCCCTTAAAGTATATACACATATTCTTAATCACTATGACAGGACAGGTCGATTTAGAAATGTCCGTCTGTCCATCTGTCTGTCTGTATGAAAGCAAGGATCTCAGCAAGTATAAGAGCTAGAGTTATCAAACTTAGTATCTGTATTCTCATAAGCCTTAGAAAGGAAAGGAAAGTTATCTATTTGTTTCCAACTCCCCCACTATTAGTGATTTTCAATAGCTGACGTAAATAATCGAATTTTTATACCCTGTACCCAAAGGGTACAAGGGTATATTAGTTTTGTGCGAGTGCACATGGAACACACAGAAGGAGGCTTGGTAGACCCCACAAAGTATATATATTCTTGATCAGAATGACAAACCGAGTCGATATAGCCATGTCCGTCTGTCCGTCTGTCTGTCTGTCTGTCTGTATGAACGCAAGGATCTCCGAAAGTATAAGAGCTAGAATAACCAAACTTGGTATACAGATTCTCCTGAGCCCGAGAAAGGACGAGTTTTTTTCTAATCCACCCCCCACTCCCCCCCTATTAACGATTTTCTATAACTCCCGTAATTCATGGAATTTTGAACTTACATTTGGTAGTCACATTAGGTTAGTGATTATATATCCGTATACCAAGTTTCATTATGATAGAATGATCGGAAAGAAAGTTATAGCCATATAACCAGGCCCAACCAGGGTATTTAAGAGTTGAGCCTGCTCGACTTTAGCATTCCTTTCTAGTTTTTGACAATGAAATCAAACGTTTAGAAAGTTATAGCCCAAGCTATACAAGTATTTGCAGAAAAGAATGGAATCCTTACTTCAACGCCAACGTGTAAAAAAATTACCTTAAAAAACTCCTGAATAGCATGCTGTTTCATGCTGTTAGTTCATAATCATCCTCGAAACATTGTCACTTTAAGTATTAAGGCAATATTCAAAAGCCCCCAGCCAAATAAAATGTTACAAATTGATCGCCACATGAATTGACGGTAAAATTCGGAATTGCAATCATGCTTTTGAGAAATTAAAGGCTTCCAAGCATGTGCACTGGGATAAGGCTGCTTATTAAGGAATTGCAGGACAATTTAAGTGTATCAACTATTATCAACGGCCCAGCAACTGGTCAACTAGCTCAAATAACGAGGATACCGATGATCCCATTTGATCATTTATATGGCTTCAATTTAAGGTAGTCCCAAGGCCAAGCCTTTGATTTAGGAGGGATTGACATATGAAAGCAATGTGTTACTGTATGCTGACCTATTACGGGTCGGAGCTCCTGAAAATCAATTTATTTTGCTATCACAAAATAAAACATCAAATATCTTTTACGGAGAACCTCTAACCTAATAAAAAATAACAAAATAATCTAAAAACGAACAAAAAATAATTAAATTCTTAGTAACTCATAGCAAAAAAAAAACAAGAGAGAACGCTACAGTCGAGCAAGCCCGACAGTGTAATACCCTGTACCCAGGTAAACTTGCGTCACTGAGTTATATGCGCCCATAGCAGCAGCAAAAAGAGGAAGAAGAAGAGTGAACTTGTTGCTGCAGTTTGTGGGGGTTGTACTGCCGAAAATTTGTTTTGCTAATAACTTTTCTTAGAATTGACAGAATTGAATAAAATTTTGAACAACAATAGACAATTATATATAAATTATGTGTGCAAAGTTTGGTTTAGGTAGCATTTGAAATGTGGACGCTATTGACGAAATTCTGTAGCGGGGGAAGGGGGGGAAAATTCCAAAAAATAAAATAAACTCGTCCTTACTCGGACCTAGGAGAATCTGGATGCCCACTTTGGTTATTCCAGCTTTTATAGTTTCTGAGATCCTTGCGTTCATCCAGACGGACGGACAGACGGACAGACGGACGGACGGACAGACGGACAGACGGACGGACATGTCTAGATCGATTTCTCTCGTCATGCTGATCAAGAATATATATACTTTATGGGGTCGGAGATGCTTCCTTCTGTATGTTACATACTTTGCACAAACCTAATATACCCTTTTTACCCTACGGGTACAGGGTATAAAAAAAATTGAGTATGTGTGTTAAGTGTGTGTGTGTTTTATAAAAGGTATAATTTTAAATTTTTTTGTAAAAATACCCGTGCGAAGCAGGGGCAGGACGCTAGTATCGAATATTTTTATTTTATTAAACTAATGCTGTTTATTTTAATTTGATTTCTTAAATATATTTATTTTATTTTTTTTGTATGATTGGATACAGGGTATTAACTCCCTGTTCCTTGTAGACCAACTATAACAACATTATTTTGAGAATCCCAGCAGTATGTATAAGGCTATACTATTTCACATTTGTAGTACACCACTCCTGATCTTGACCAACTTGACTGTCTTAAGTAGCCAAAAATGGAGAGATATAGAGTAGTAGAGAAGTAAGCGAATCCTTGGAGTGTGGCGACTGCCGAATTGGAGTCGTAGTACACAAAAAGTTTGGACTGCACGTCCCTAAAATTTCATTCTTGCTTTCTCTCTAACGTTCTACTATCTCTCTAAGCCAACCTGGAAAGCTGTCATAGTGCGAGTAGTTGAGCACGGGCCAAGTCCTGGTATTGCAAGTGCAATCTTTGCGTGTGCCATAGACCATAAGGTAAATAAACAGGCCGACGTCCAATGAGGACTTTGTGGCATATCAAGTTTTATGCATAATTAGCTGCAAGCACGGTGCGCAAAAACTTGCATCGTTACATTTCGCAAAGTTTTAATTTATGCCTCGGTTGCTGGCAGTTAGTTTCACAGTTTC